ACAGCTAAATAAACAATCATCGTCCTCGTTATGTTAAGTGTTGATCCCTGTTTGTTCAGTAGATCCGTGTTCTGACGGCGGATACCCCTTGTTCAGTCAGTGGTGATTCAGAGACCTGATCACGGTTAACGACTGTTTGGATTGTTGATTAGTTTTGGATACGCAAAACAATACACCAAAATATGCACTGTATGCACCATATCTGTTTCATTGCATACACCTTAAAAGCTTCACTGCATGCATCACAAACTACTTTGTACACGCCATAAATACTAAAACGCGTACCTCATCATATATACCACAGTGTACACACAGTATACATTCTGTACTGTATACTCCATCAATATTACACTGTATATGCCATCAGGACAACGTTGTATAACATCTTAGATTTGATATACATTAGGGATGGGGTGGAGCGTGGGGTTGAATGGATGTCGACTTCTGTAATATTTATACTCCTTCATCGGGTGAATCAAAGCTTGGAAGGAGAGCGATATGTATGTAAATGGGAAAACAACAAAAGTAACGGATAAAAAAAGAGGTGAACGGTTAAGAAGGATAGCCAGTAGTTAATTGGCACTGATTGACGCCAATTAACTGCTGGGTTAGATTGAAAAATATCACTGAAGTACTACCGTATACGAAGAAGAAGAAGATATTTTGTTTCATTTCAGTGTCCCATGCTCTACAATAAAATCATTAATAAAAGTACATAGAATATACTGCAAAGTGAGCACCCGGCCTCAAGGCCTACTGGACACTAATTATTGGCATTATAATACACATTATATGATTAAAATAAAATAAGAGGGCGTGAAGGCGGGAGAACGCGACTATCGTTTAATATCTTAATATACATTGTATACACGTTGATGTCTTAATGGTAACGCAGATGGGAATCAAATATGATCTTGTAACTGGCCAACCACCCCAGAGTTATATACATGTACAACCGACGCTGATATGTTTCTACCACAACCAAGTGTCGGTGGTCGGGGGGGGGAAGAGATTGACTGAGTTTGTTGTGGGCAGATTATAGCAGAACTCTTTGTCTTAGAGTGCACAGTAACACCAGTAGAATTTATAACAACATTGAATACATAAGCATAACCTGAGAACCGATTGTCCATTGCCCGTGCTATAAAAAGGTCTTTTAGTTTGTTTATTTCTAACCAGTTCATTCTGGTGTACACGGGAATCTGTCAAAACCGAAATCTTACATATCCGGATCTCTCTGTTGGTACCAAGTCATATTCATGGTCACCAATTAACTGCTTTAATACGCTATAGATCTCATCTGTCATTCTAGATGTCCTTTAGTCGAGTATACAGACTGATATTGTGTGGTTTGACTTTCCTTCCTTCAGCAGTTTCAAAATGCTTCCTTATAATATAACGTCGTGATAACATTCTTGGAATCATTATACTCTTCGCCTTTCTCCGAAAGGGCATGGCATGGAGTATGATTGTGCGACCAACGAAACATAAAGTTCAAGAAATGTATGAGGGCTCTGCATTTTCTTAGGAATGTCCAACATTTATCCACACTTGTAAGACAACTTGATGCTGCTAGAATTTGTTACAGGCTTGACAAACTTTTCATAAAGAGAAAATTTATATTTCGAAACGCTCTGACAACCACCAACAAAAGACGAAACTATTATTAAGAAACTTACAACAATGCACAAAATAGCGAGTGAGTAAGTTTAGTTTTACGCCGCAATCAGCAATATTCCAGCTATATGGCGGCGGTCTGTAAATAATCGAATCTGGACTAGACAATCAAGTGATCAACAGCATGAGCATCGATCTGCGCAATTGGGAACCGATGACACGTGTCAACCAAGTCAGCGAGCCTGACCACCCAATCCCGTTAGTCGCCTCTTACGACAAGCATGGGTTACTGAAGATCAATATTCTAACCTGGACCTTCACGGGTCCACAAAATAATGAACAAATGTGTAATACCTAAACGCTTTGCTACCCTACACATAATGAGCTGCTTCAATTTATCACCCCGTAACAAACTTAACACGAGCGTTCCTTTTGACTGACCAAGTATGTTCCAAACGTCATTTATTGTAGATTAATTAAAACTGTGGAGTTCCCAAACTGACAATGTTAAGAAAAAGTCTTCAGCAAATCAATTTGAAATATGAATCTAAACAAATGTCATTCGAAGATCCGGTTATTTCAGCTATAGAAAACGTGAAATTACTGTAATACACGCAAGACATGGACAGGGATGCAGTAGCCTGAATGACGCTATATTTACACCAAGTGTATCGGACAATATTTTTGCTCTTGTGGTTCCGCATGCGAAAATACTTATCACTCGTTTCTTAGCTGTAAAAAATACCTTTTGTTACAATAACCTCAGTTCATTAAATGAAAATAGCTCATCCAAATTTAGAAACAATTTGAAGTGGTAACAAAAATTTCCCCGAAGAGCAAAATAACTCAATATTTATATATGTCCATCACTTTATAGCTGGAACAGATGAAATATAAGTCTGTTTAACAACTATTACCCATCAAAAAGTACTAGAATATAACATATGTTACATTTGACCACTTTCTAAATGGCATTGTGCAATTACATCTCTATTGTACGATGTAATAAAGTTCAATGCTTATTCCATGCATGTTGGTTATAGTACAAACCCCCTGGTTACAAAATTAGTTTTGACATACATTATAACTGCAGTCTTGATGCCAATTAAAACTAATCCGTGTAAATAGCAAAACACTCATATTTGATAGTTAGGGGCCTTCAATATAATTCTAAATATTCACAATTAACATTGTTTTTGCTTAAACTAGTAAAACTGTTTGCATAGGGAAACTACAGATGTCAGCTTTAAAGGAAAGACGAAATGCAATGTCCTGGTACTTGCATTACACATAATTATGCATATTCTAGGTGTTATCTTGCGTTTTTCCGAAGCACCAACTTTCTGTCCAGCTTTAAACATTCTACCGATTCATTAAAAGTATCCTCTTACACACTAAGCTCCGTGTGTTAGTACGCTCCTGCAACACTCGCCACTCGACTAATAAGTGGACGAATCCGACCACAACGGCAGGCGGTAAATGTACCGCGTGTTCACATCCAGGTGTTAGGCACATGGCACATGGAATAACCCGGTGGTGGTATTCCAACGTATTCAGCTACCCCAGGGTGCAATATTCTACATCGATTATGCGATGTGTCTCGGTGATAACAATGTCAGGCTTGAGTGTACACGTTCACATTTGGCTACTATTATTTGCTATTTAGACATATGTTGGTAGTATATGTAAAACGATAGCATTTCAGATGATGCAATTTGTCATTTGTCAAAGATGTTGAGAAATTTAATAAAATAGTTTTCAGCTATAATCATCAACATATGTGAACTGCTATTTCAAAGAAAGGTATCTGACATCTTCAATTTATGAACATGCAATAATACACATGCACAATAATATTTTTCATTACGTTTACGTATTTGCGACCGCGGAACAAATCTTGCACCTATTCAAGTTAAATGCTCCTAGAATTGCACAGTTATCGACGCATAAAGATTTCACAAATATCTGGGCAGAGGGACATATCGTTTGCAGTAAATCCGCTACCCACAGACAGCCCACATTCAACCTAAATGGACTCACACATGGTACACAAGGACTTAACACGGCTATATCACTGTCACATGTTTTCCCGAATACGAGAAAATATCATAGGAATGTACAAATTCATTGTATTTTTAGACGCTATTTCTTACCGCTGCCGTTATAAGGTGTTACATTTTGTTGCTGTCCATATATAGAAATTGAAAAGTATGGAGCTATATTCGACTATTGCTGACCAGTATATTTGTAATTTGATTATATCTGTTTCATATGCTCAAAATGCAAAACAAAACAGGCCTCCTATTTGCATTAAATCATATACGTAGATAGTTCAATTGACCGACCTAAATTTTGATGAAAATATGCCCACCATTAACGTCGTGGAAGTTTGAAAAAATTTATGTTTGTAAACTCAAATTTCTGAACGTAAATTGTTGTCATATTTTTTTCTATTAAAATTAGATCGCTTTCTCAAGGCATATCCTCTTGACCTACGTTCATTTATTATTAAAAAGGAAAGTAAGCACATGTATATGCTCACATATGAAACTATGACTTAGGTTTTAAGTTAAGATTTCACGCAGGACATTCAGGAAAGAAAGAGGATAATTTTATCAAGGCTTGTATCCAAAATTTGAAATATAAAAATTGAAATTATGACACATATATGAGCTAGTAAGTTGAATTTAACACCACTTTCATATACGTTTTGGTGAGTCAGCTCAGATTCACTTTACAGGTTTGGTTCAACTTATCAAGAACGATAAGGAAGATACCATCAGACTGCCTCTGAAGGAGACTGAGACTGAATGACGTACATTAACATAATCACATGCATAATTTTATGTAGTACATCCATTATTCTATTTAAATCTGTGTATCATTACATTAGTACGGGTAAGATCATGACGTCATGTCATTCAATAGACATTTAGTGAAACGGGGCCTGGATTCCATGTAGCAACCTATACACCCAATGGTCACAATTACAGTACATCTGGTGAAACATAACCCGTAATCCCAGCATTACTTCTCATTGGTTACAGACATGCAGCTAAACCAATAGGAAGCCAGGTTACGTAATAGTCACTGTCATAAGCGGGTACTTATAGCTGATGCTGCATCACAGAAACCAGAACAGCTCAAGTAGTAAGTACTATTGTATCGTTAACAGCTACTGTGTGATAAAGTGAGATTTACGTCTGACTCCTCGTTGCTGTTGATGAGATTGGACTATTATTTTAACTTCCAAATTTACAGCCATCCTTTACGTATGCCCACCTATTATTAATTATGATTAAAATAGATGTACATTTAATTTTTGTTTCATTACAGAGCTGATTTACAATTATTAGAATCGACTATTTGCCATCTGAGTCACCATGGCTTCCTACGATCCTACCGATCCTGAGATGCAGTATCTTGCTGTGGACCGCAAGAAGTTGCTGAAGGAGCAAAAGCAGTCCTTTGATGCCAAGAAATCTTGCTGGGCGCCTGATGCTGAACAAGGTTTCCGTGCTGCAGAACTGAAGAGCACAAAGGGCGAAGAAGTCACTCTCCTCATCCTTGAGACGAATGAGGTATAAGTAAATACGATTCTAATATTTCACCTATGTGTATTGTTACGTGCAGCTAATTGTGAAATTGTGACAAAACAAAGAGATGTCGCTGCTTTGAGAACGGAATGGGGATATGTACTTTTATTAAGACTCTTTGATCCCCGATCTATGTCAGTGTTCAGTTAACAATTGTGAGTTATTAAACTAACTAAAATGTCTTATTACTTCAGACTAAGACGTTCAAAAAGGATGAAGTTCAGTCGATGAATCCTCCCAAGTTCGAGAAGATCGAAGATATCGCCAACATGACCTACTTGAACGAAGCAGCCGTCTTGTACAACCTGAGGTCCAGATACACCTCTGGCTTGATCTATGTAAGTAACATACTGTAACACAAACACGCCCGCACGCACGCACGCATACACACACAAAACGATAAACAACGAACCATGTGACCAACCTGAATTATTATTTAAACAAAACCACAGGATGTGTTACAACTGATCGTAAATTGATCTTTCAGATGTACTCAGGCCTGTTCTGTATCGCCATCAACCCCTACCGCCGTTAACATTGATACTAAATATCGAAGGGACTTTGTCGCTTGCATATGACAACCTACAATTCATTTACGTATTAGGATGCATTTGATATCATTATGTACAAATGTGAGATGTTGAAAGTAACACCAAAGAGGAACCTCACTGAAATTACACATATTACAGACCTATTCCGGGTTGTTCTGTATCGCCATCAACCCCTACCGCCGTCTCCCCATCTACACCCCGTCCATTGTGGCCAAGTACAGAGGCAAGAGGAAGACCGAGATGCCACCTCATTTGTTCTCCATCTCTGACAACGCCTACCAGTTCATGGTGCAAGGTAATTAGTGTTTTTGTTCTGCCTTCAACAATAATCTATGATCCGTATATTGTAAACGCTCACTACAACGCCTAAACGATAATGTGTACATTGTCATGCATCATCCAGTCGATGACAAAATGTGAACAATATAAGCTGTCTATGTATCATTTTGTAAATATGATCTATTGAGTGCATGTTTTTGTTTTACGTAGTTAGCTTAATTCCAAATTCCTCGGTCTGAAAACTCTTGAATCTGAATGAGATAAACAATTTGAATGCTTCAAGCATGGGAAACACCTGAATCGAGGATAATATGACACAAAGGAAACACAATCACATATTATAATCCCCAATTCCCATGTTTAGTTGACAAATACAAGGTATATACGGTATTGTTGCAATAACAGTTACCATTCATATTTACAGATCGCGAGAACCAGTCTATGCTGATCACGTAAGTGACACGTCAGAGTAATTTAGTACCTTTTACGCAATTTAATAAACATATATGTACATTATTTACATAATAATTTAAATAAGAGTGCGACGTAATCATTTAACTAATTTATAAAACGGTAAGAAACTAATGGAAGTGTATGATGAGAGTACATTTAAACACAATAATGTAACAATTAGAGGTGAGTCTGGCGCCGGAAAGACTGAGAACACCGAAGAAAGTCATCGCCTACTTCGCCTTTGTCGCCGCCGCGTCTAAAGGAGAAGGGGAACAGGAGGAAAAGAAGGTGAGATATTAATAAAGAGAAAATTCCCTCGAATAACATGAATGGTAAATGATCATGGAAAATATAGCAATTTTACACGTGCAAACGTTTCCCGGAAAAACTAGTAACAAAAATATATTTGCTTTTCTCTAGTGAAGCGTTATACTCAGAAGGTGATAATCATCGCGATAAACTTTTGACCATCTTTAAAAAAACAAGATAGAAGCTTAAAGGTGACAACATTTACAGACAACTAGTAATGCCTAAATATAAAAAGAAACTATTAAATTTCCAGGGGTCCCTCGAGGATCAAATCGTGCAGGCCAATCCAGTTCTTGAGGCGTATGGCAACGCAAAAACATCCCGAAACAACAACTCCTCCAGATTCGTAAGTTTGCAAGAAATACTATCTACGTTTTGTACCTTTTGTAGTCTTGCAATGTCATAATTATAAGCAATAAAGGAAAGTAAGAATAAACGATAAAATGTGTAACTTATAAGCAGCAAAGCAAAGTCACTGTAAACGACAAACGTAAGAAAAAACAATCTGTTTGTAATCACTGATTATTTCATCAATATTTTGATCGCAAAGCTTTAAGATGAAAACACCAATCATCATTCATGACTGAATACCAAAATGTTTTGACAGGGAAAGTTTGTGAGGATCCACTTCGCCACGTCCGGCAAAATTGCAGGAGCTGACATTGAAACATGTAAGTTATGTGTGTCACACTGTAATTTACAGAGTGTATGGAGTACATACGAAAAATACTAATATTCCTAACACCCGATCTCAAACAGTACTATGAAAATATACCAATGAATATCTGAAAATCCAACAAGCGCCGGGTTTAATAATAGTTTGATTCTTTCCTACGAAAAAAACTTGCTATTTTAACAGTATGTATAATCTCAAGCATCATAACATTGTACATTATAAATACTACGTTCTTGCAGACCTATTGGAGAAGTCCCGTGTCACCTATCAACAATCTGTGGAGAGAAATTACCACATTTTCTACCAGATGCTATCAAATGCTGTTCCATCTGTACTAGGTAAGCTCTTTCTCTCTCACCATCTTTATACCATGGCTTACTAATTTCACATCAATAACATAATATGTATATTGCAAACTGAAACTAATTCCGTGAATAGAATTGACGTATTTATATATTTTCAGATACTATCGTTGCCAAAACTGATGCTGGTCTGTACACCTTCATCAACCAGGGTGTCCTTACAGTCAACGGCATTGACGACAAGGAGGAGATGAAGATGACTGATGTAAGAAATAGGATGATTAAATATAGGAGTCATGTTTCACTGTAACGCAGAATTCACAATTGTAATACAAATGGGTGCTAGGATTAGCAGAATTGTGTCACATAATACCGTGCAAAAGGAAACCACCCCAGTGCCTTGTATTATGATGACTACAGAATTACACATCTCAGGTCTGCGAGAATATCGGTTAACGTGTTCAACAGCCACTGAAACACATTTTTGACTTCAATGAAATGGAAACCTACCCTGAGCTAAGTTTTTCTATTTTGCTCCTCAGTTATTGTTTGTGACTGACCTTATATATGACATGTATTCAATTTCTTATATTCATTGGTCTATATTTGTAGGAAGCCTTTGATGTCCTGGGATTCACTGCTGAGGAGAAAACCAGTGCCTACAAATGCACTGGCTCTATCCTACACATGGGTGAGATGGCGTTTAAGCAGAAGGGTGAACAGGCTGAGCCTGATGGAACTGCTGAAGCTGAGAAGGTTTCCTTCCTGTTGGGTGTCAACTGTGGTGACTTCCTGAAGGCTCTGTGTAAACCCAAGATCAAGGTGGCCATGGATTACGTCACCCAAGGACGAACCAAGGATCAGGTTCTCTATTCTGTTGGTGCTTTGTCCAAGTCCCTCTATGATCGTGTGTTCAACTGGCTGGTTAAGAGGGTCAATCACTCTCTGGACACCAAGAAACCGAGACAATTCTTCATTGGTGTGCTGGATATTGCAGGATTCGAAATCTTTGATGTGAGTATATATCATATTTTAGGTAACCTTGTATTTGAAAGGGAACGAAAGAACAGATAACGTCCAACATTCTCAGTTTTAAATAATGATGGTCTTTTAAACGTAATGCTGGGTTTGAGATATTCGATGTAAGCTGAAATATCTGCAGTTGCACATTCATTCATTTCGTTGAAATTAACGAATGAATTCAATGAAAGCCCATATTTTCCCGTCTGAATAGTAATAAATGTTAATTTCCACGGGTCCCTTGAGGATCAACTCGTGCACGTCAATCTCTTTCTTGGTTTTATTTAATGTTTTCAATTTTCTGATCTGCAAAACAGTTCAACAGCTTTGAACAGCTGTGCATCAATTACACCAACGAACGCCTTCAGCAGTTCTTCAACCACCACATGTTTGTGCTGGAACAGGAGGAATATAAGAAAGAAGGTATCCAGTGGGAGTTCATCGACTTTGGAATGGACTTGCAGGCCTGCATTGAGCTCATTGAAAAGGTACAACCATTACTTTGCCACAGGTTCATGCTCAATTTAAAAAAACCCAAATACTAAAACGAACAACATGATTCACATGTAATGAGATTAAAAGAAATGCATTAAATATAGCACCAAAGATGAAAATGCATACAGGCGTTAATGCTACAACTTCTCATATATATTTACGAACTGTAACAACTTCATGTTTGTGATGGAGAAGTGTAAGAGAAAAAGGAGATAAAATAATCGCATTGTCTTATTTCAGCCGTTAGGTATCCTGTCCATCCTGGAAGAGGAGTGTATGTTCCCCAAAGCATCTGACAAGACCTTCAAGGACAAACTGACTCAGAACCACATGGGCAAATCTCCAAACTTCCTTAAGCCAAACAAGTCTATGAAAGGAGGTCAACACGGAGACTTCGCCTTGAAGCACTACGCCGGAACAGTCCCCTACAACATCGGCGGGTGGTTGGAGAAGAACAAGGACCCTGTCAACGAAACCATTGTGGATCTCCTGAAACAATCCAAGGAACCACTCGTCCAACTACTCTTCACTCCAGCTGAAGGAGGTTTGTAAAGTTAACTCTCTTAGGACTTTGTTTATGTCAAATTCGGCCTTGTTCTGAGACGTAATGCATGTTCTATTCTCGTGTTTAGATGCTGCAGCCGCTTCAGGGGGTAGCAAGAAGAAGAAGAAGAGCTCTGCCTTCCAGACCATCTCAGCCACTCACAGGGTACAATTACTTTTAAATATCGCTTCATGATACAACTGAATATTTGTACGTTCATGGACAGATTAAGGCATCCAAAGTATTATATACGTATTTGTAAGAATCTATCTACATGTACGTACATTATTTAAACTTTTGTTAATTTTTCAGGAATCCTTGAACAAGCTCATGAAAAATTTGTACACAACTCATCCTCACTTTGTGCGTTGTATCATCCCCAACGAAACCAAGACACCCGGTAAATATATATGTGCCTGCTTTCGTATCTAATTTTAGATATCACTTCAAGGTGCTCTTTTTATAAATCAATACACCATTTCCATTATCATAAGAAATATCCCATGGACGCAAGGTCCATGGTACGAATCTGAGTGGTATTCGAATAACATTACTTCCATGTTGCAAACCGAGTCTAAGTTATCTGATGTCTAAGTTAATGGATCAAATCTTATGTCTATTTAAAGGCCTGATTGATGCCGCTCTCGTGCTCCACCAGCTCCAATGTAACGGTGTACTTGAGGGTATCCGTATCTGCAGGAAGGGCTTCCCGAGCAGAGTCGTGTACTCAGAATTCAAACAGAGGTATTTATTACGTAGAAAACATAAAAAATTGCACAATGATTATATAAGTGATTCATTAAAATGCAACAACAATAAAATAGTGAATCTTACCTATAGTTTCAATCGATCTGTCAGTTCTATAAAATATACGTTTCTTTCAACAGGTATTCTATCCTTGCCCCAAATGCAATTCCTCAAGGTTTTGTGGAAGGTAAAGTAGTCTCTGGAAAGATTCTTGAGGAGCTGAAGATGAACCCAGACGATTATCGTCTCGGTAATACCAAAGTGTTTTTCAAAGCGGGTGTCCTTGGTTACCTTGAGGAACTCCGTGACGAGCGACTGTCCACAATCGTGGCTCTGTTCCAGGCTCACATCCGTGGATACTTGATGAGGAAATACCTGAAGAATCTACATGACAAAAGGTTAGAAACGCTGTTGATGTTTAAACGTTTGATAGTCCAATAACGACACAAATTATACCAATATAGTGTTATGAATATAATTCGGTTTCATAAGTTATCGCATCGTAAGTAAACATCAGTCAATAACAATGTTAGTTAATTAATGTGATTGTTTGTAGAGTTGCCCTGGAAATGATACAGAAGAACATCCGCAAGTGGCTGGCCATGAGGAACTGGTGTTGGTGGAGATTCTACACCAAGGTCAAGCCTCTTCTTAGTATTGCTGCTGCTGAGGATGAAATGAAACAGAAGGAGGAAGCACTGGTCAAAACAAAAGAAGAGCTTGAGAAGATCACATCCAGGTCAAAGGAACTCGAGGAACAGAATGTAACCTTGATGCAGGCAAAAAATGATTTGTTCCTAGAGGTCCAGACCAAACAAGACACTATCGATGACTGTGAAGAAAGAGTTGAGCAACTGCTGAGGCAGAAAAGTGACTTTGAAGCTCAGTTGAAGGAACTGGAGGAGCGTCTTCTGGATGAGGAAGATGTAAATTCTGCTGCAGTTGAGAAGAGGAGACAAATTGAAACTGAAAACAATGAGCTGAAGAAAGATATTGAAGAACTTGAGAGCTGTCTTGAAAAGGTATATATCGACTCTCCAATTGTAATTCTTGACAATTAATCATTTTTACACCTTAATAAGACAGTAAAATAACAAAATATATGGCTAGAGGCCATGCCGACAGTGAGGCTTAATAACGGCATGTTAAGTCTACAAAATATTTGGAATAAAAAAATATATTATAAATACATATAAAAATAAATGCCTTTTGTTTTAGTCGGAACAAGAAACTAAAACCAAAGAAAACCAAATCAGGACACTAGAAGAAGAGATTGCCCAGAAAGACGAAGCCTTGGCCAAACTGACAAAGAACAAAAAGGACATTGAAACTCAAAACCAGAAGACCTCTGATGCTCTTCAAGCCGAAGAAGACAAGGTGAATCACTTGACTAAACTGAAAAATAAACTGGAGCACTCGCTGGATGATATGGAGGTGACACTCCAACGTGAGAAGAAGATGCGAGGAGATGTTGAAAAGGTCAAGAGAAAGTTAGAACAGGATCTGAAGATATCACAAGAAGCTGTTGAAGAACTTGAGCGCATCAAAAGAGAAATGGAGGAAACTGTCAAAAGGTAAATATTGATAAAATCCAACATTAATAATACGACTGTTAGGTTCATTGCAATTATTTTTCGACTGAGACATATGCGAATGAAACATGATTATCTCAATATTATGTGACATTGTTTGGCTTTCAGGAAAGACAAAGACATATCCTCGCTTAATACCCAAGTAGAGGAAGAACAAGGTCTTGTTGCTAAACTCCAAAGGAAAGTCAAAGATCTTCAGGTACATCAGATTCCTAACCCTTCTGCTGTTAAGTTTGAAGCACTGAAATGACCCCTTGTTTCATTGTGTTGTAGTATTAACTTAAATATGACACAATGCACAATTATTGAAATATAAATTACCTGTAATCACTACGAGTGCATTTCTTTGAAATTCCTTGTAGAGCACGTAGTTAATTGCATGACTCCAAATATGCTGTATGTGGCAGGATCACATTGAAGAACTTGAAGAAGAATTTGAAGCTGAGAGACAGTCTAGAAACAAGGTTGAAAAGCAGAAAATAGAACTTGAACGTGAATTGGAGGAACTGTCTGAACGTCTTGATGAAGCTGGAGGTGCTACTGCTGCCCAGGCAAGTGCAGTTTCTATGACGAAAGATACTTTACTAATGTCTTCAACATAAATCATAATGAGGTGTGGCACACATAATTCAATCAAGGAATGTATAATACAACATTCAATCAAAGCACATGTAATATATCCTCCTTTTCATTGATATTGACGTGTTGCAGTTTATAATGAAGAAAACCCCTGTGTAGTAAAGCTATTATTTTAAGAGCAAGAACGATTGATACTTATCTACAGGTCGAGTTAAATAAGAGGCGGGAACAGGAACTCATGAAGCTTCGTCGCGACTTGGAAGAGAATACTTTGAACCACGAGTCACAGGCTACCGTCCTTCGTAAGAAGCACCAGGATGCTTTCAACGAGCTCAATGACCAGCTGGACCAAATAGTAAAACACAAAATCAAGTAAGTAGAATATATCTCATTTATCCAATCAATTATTGTGAATAAGATAATATCCACACGTTAACTTTATCAGTGCGTACCTGACAATACTGGTACGTGTCGTGGCATTATTTTTATATTTATTTTCAGAAAGTATATAAACTCTATTTTTTACCTTTGTAATGCCATTGGCAAGGTCAGGTTGCAACTATTTCATTATAAAACATATATTATTCTTCCCAGACTTGAAAAGGAGAAGCAGACAATGAAGGAAGAGACTGATGAACTCCAAGCTCAGCTGGAACATGTGAAAAAGAATAGAGTGAGTTATTCAGATAGAATTTGATAATGCAACGGGAACATACTACCCGTCATTAATGAGATATTGAATCAAGTGGATAATCTTTATGGGGCCTATGCATCTGAAACATACTTAATTTGTACATATCATCCAGGGCTACCATTGATAGTTAAATGCCTTCTTTGTTTTTGTCGTTCAAGGGCTGTTCTGAAAAGATGACCAAACAAATGGAAAGCCAGATCAGCGAGTTGAATGTGAGAATAGAGGAAGGATCTCGACAGATCACAGAGTTGCAGTCCTCCAAAATGAAACTGCAGACAGAGTGCAGTGACCTTACCCGTCAGCTTGAGGAGGTTGAACATAACATTAGTCACGTGACTAAAGAAAAATCCACTTTGTCCAGTAACCTGGAAGAAGCCAAAAACAGTCTTGAAGAGGAAACAAGGGTGAGTTATTATATAAAATACTTATACTTTTGTAAGTCTCTTCGGGATATCGAACAAGAGAAGACTGGGTGTATAATAAAACTAATTGAATCACCATGCCCGCATTCTGAACATTTCACGTAATTTGTAGATGCGCATGAAGCTCCAAACTGAAGCACGCAACCTTAATGCTGACATGGAGAACGTCCATGATCAGTTGGAGGAAGAGCAGGAGAAGACAGCTACTCTTCAACGTCAACTTGCAAAGGCCAACAATGAAGTTCAGCAGTGGAAGTCTAAGTATGAGACTGAAGGCATCACAAGAATGGACGAATTAGAAGAGTCAAGGTAAAACACACACACACACACACACACACACACATAGATATATGGCATAAATACTTAGCATTATTTATCAAAAAGAATACATTTGCCTCACTCCTTCAGTACCTCCGTAGGGGCGGTGGGGTAGCCTAGTGATTAAAGCATTCGCTCGTCACGCCGAAGACCCGGGTTCGATTCCCTTCATGGGTAAAATGTGTGAAGCCCATTTCAAGCATCCCCGCCGTAATATTGCCAGACTATTGCTAAAAACTAAACTCACTCACTCACTCAGTATCTCTGTACAAATGTTGTGAGCAAATTTCCGTTCTTACCAACGAAGTATTGTCCATATACATGTATGATCTTTCTGTGTAAAGGCGCCGTCTCCAGGCTAAACTAACTGAAGCAGAGCAGAACATGGAATCAGCCTACAGCAAGTGTAATTCTCTGGAGAAGGTGAAGTGTAGACTGCAAGGAGAGTTGGAGGACCTCATGGTCGATGTTGAGAGGGTAAGTGGTTATGCTTTACTGTAGCAGTAAGGAACTGACAGTGAACAAAAAAGTATAACAAGTTAAATCGTTTTAAGCAATAATGCATAAGGATCAGCGTAGATTACATTGACGTGTAAAGTTAGTAAGACATGATATTGGAAATTGGAAAATATAGTGAAAATGCGGTGTTATTTCAGGCCAACTCAACGTGCACCGCTATGGACAAGAAGCAGAGGATGTTTGATAAGACTGTTCAAGAATGGCAGACGAAGGTTACCTTCCTTCAGACTGAACTTGAGGGATGTCAAAAGGAGACACGTTCCTACTCGACTGAAATATTCCGCCTCAAGGGCCAGGCTGAGGAATATCAGAGTCAAATTGAGGCTTTAACAAGGGAGAACAAGAACCTGTCTGGTAGGTAAATTATTGCCATTTGATGATTAGCTTTATGAAAGTAGCATAAATGATACATTGCCCATAAGTATCTGATTCTGAATTTGAGTACTCTCGTATTTTATCTGACGTGGTAATCCTATTGTTATATACTTATCAGAAGAAATCCATGACCTCACTGGCCAGTTGAGTGATGGCGGCCGCGGCGTTCATGACATTGAGAAGGCCTGCAAACGTCTCCAGATAGAGAAGGAGGAACTCCAGACTGCACTTGAGGAGGCCGAGTCATCTCTGGAACAGGAGGAGGCGAAGGTGGCGAAGATAACCATGGAGCTTGCTCACGTCAGAGCTGACATTGACAGACGTGTTGCAGAGAAAGACGAAGACTTTGAAAACACTCGGTTAGCAATTACAAGTCTATTACACCAATGGCTGATCTCGTGTTGACAGTTCAATTGTCAATACTATAGAGAGAACACACTCCGTGTTTGCAATTTATATACGATCACGTGCATTACTTCGGATTTAAATACCAGCTATAAACTCATAATCACAAAAACATGAGCCCATTGTACAATTACGACCACGTGAGTAGCTACTGAATTATTTATACACATGGTAATTGTTCTTCAGGCGCAATCACCAAAGAGCCCTCGAGTCCCTACAGGCCAGCCTAGAGGCGGAAACTAAAGGAAAGGCGGAAGCAATAAAGAATAAGAAGAAGTTGGAGCAGGATATCAACGAGCTTGAGATATCCCTGGATGCTGCGGGGCGAGCAAGAGCAGAAGCTGAGAAAATTTCGAAGAAATGCCAAGTTGAAATAAAGGTATATTTAGTTATTTATAGGACTATTTCAAGCAAGCTGGCATTGTACTGACCGAAGTGGCGATGTAGATGTCTCTTCTGAGACACATTATTTAAGAAGAAATAGTTCACAGAAATTAACCACATGACTTCTGTTTTGTGATTTTAGGAGCTGTGCATCAGGGTTGACGACTTCCAGAGGTCACACGAAGAGTCACGTGAAGCCTACCAGACTCTTGAGCGACGCTGTAACATGCTGAAGGGTGAGAATGAGGAGATGCGTACGTCCCTCGAATCATCTGAACGCGCCCGTAAGGCCGCTGAAGTCGAGCTGAACGACGCCTCAGATCGTGTGAATGAGCTTACTGTCCAGATGACTTCCATCTCCAGCCAGAAGAGGAAGTTTGATAGCGAAATCACCTCTATGATGGTGAGCTATTTATGTCAGTGGGGAGTCAACACTGATGTGACAACAATTTCATATCATTAACTATGATTCTACTTGTCCTTTGTGCAACTGATAACATAAATCAGGATGAAATGTTTGAAACTGATGTTAAAAGCGCACCAAATAATGGTCGCTCAGTTCTTGTGAGTAGCTATTGTATTGTAATAAGAAATACCAAAGTAACATCTGCCTTTCTTCCACCAGTCTGACTTAGATGACATGAACAATCAACTCAAGACATCTGAAGATAATTGTAAGCATGCTGTTGCTGATTGCACTCGCCTGTCTGATGAGCTTCGCATCGAGCAGGACCACAGTAGACAGCTGGAGAAGGCCAAGAAACACTTTGAGGGTCAAGTGAAAGAGCTTCAGATGAGAATTGATGATGCCGAGGCCATGGGACTCAAGGGAGGAAGGAAGATGATACAGAAACTCGAACAGAAGGTATTAAAATGCAATTCCATGATCACACCACTTCTAAGTAATTGATTATTAATTATAGATGGTTTGTGCAACATGTATAGATCGAAATAAAGTTGATTATTCACATTCATTACATGTGTTGCTTGCTTTCTCAGATTCGTGAACTTGAGACTGAACTTGAGAACGAGCAGCAACGCCATGCTGAGAACCAGAAGAATTCTCGTCTTGCTGATCGTCGTCTGAAAGAGATTGCCTTCCAGGCAGATGAGGACAGGAAGACCCAGGAGAGACTCCAAGAGACTGTGGACAAGCTGAATGCTAAATTGAAGACATACAAAATGCAGATTGAGGAAGCGGTAAGTCTAAATACCAGCTAGTCGTTCTGAGTTCTTATCACAAGAAACTACAAGACAATGAGCATGATTGAATTCATTCACTAGCATACAATTGATATCTCATTACACCACTTGTACAATTTACAGGAGGAAATTGCAGCCATGAATCTGGGCAAGTTTCGCAAGGTACAGCAAGAGCTGGAGGATGCTGAGGAGAGAGCCGACGTCGCTGAAGGAACTCTGCAGAAACTTAGAGCCAAGAACCGAAGCTCTGTTTCAATGGCTCGCAACTGAATAAAACTTTGAACACGACAGGCATTGGGACGCCTAATAGCTCTGAGATTCTTGATACATGCAACAGCTGGAACATTTCGCAGATATGGCGATATATAATACCAACACTGAAAATATTGCTCGTTTCACAATTCTGTATTCTGTCGCAGATGCATTACAGGTGCCATAACTGTATTCTGCCATGTACATAATATTTAATTCAATATTTATGTAACATTCATTGTGCAAGAAGATTGGCCGCTATGAAATAAAAAGTATGTTCCCAGTTCCATGTTATTTGTTAATGTGAAACGTTTTCCTATCGAGATGTTGTGCTCTCTGTATGAAAATCCTAGTGACGAATGCAAGTATTCACAGGAGTGATTAATTAAAACATGCACGAACATTCAAACACGACATTTTGAAGTGTGCATTGTAACAGATGGATTCCAATGTCAGAACCACTCGTTCGAAGCACAAAATGGTGCCGCAATTTGATAGGAACACGCGGACTGCAACTACTCCATTAATAACATCATATGGATGAGTACCATATTGATACATATATTGAATGACGTGCTGAGGACAACGTACAGTAACAGTTCAGAACATCACAGATTTATCACAGAATGCATCACGAGTCTCCGTATTTACAGATCTATCATTGCTATGTCAACTTAGAATGTTTCCATTGACGTAGAAAGTCTTTGTGACAATATAATCTAAACTGAATACATACTATTGCATCGTATCACCAGGGATAATCTACTACAGGGATAGGTCACTCGCTTGCTTTCTTTACCATTTGTACTAATTAGCGTGTACCTCGTCATGCTCCAACGCACACAGTGACTTGGTTCGTTCCCAGCGCAACTTCGACTGCGTTTAACAGTACTTCAGACAGTTTATTGTATCAGTCGGAATTTTACAATGAATGAATGAATGAATGAATTATAGCAAGACTTAAGAGCAAGAATTATATGTGAATAAATGAAAGAAATAAAGAAAAAGAACAAAAGAAAGAAATACATATGTGAATGAATGAAAGAATAAATGATACACCACGGCCATCCCTCTCCAAACATGTTAAAGAACGCAAAACTATCGCTAGAACACATGTGTTAACATCAGCTATTCTTTTTTAAAAAATCTACTTTGAGACATTGTTTACATTAGTAATTAATTCAGATATCTTATTGCATGTGTTACATGGCATGGACATTGACAGAATCGTAACTGACACTGTCACACCCCCCTCAAAAACAGAAAGTTTAGATCTGATCAGATCGGCGATATGTCATATTTTACACACACCTCAAATACACCCTAATAACTTTTTTAAAATTATAAAGCTATCACTGTTACTTGCAAACACCTTTTCACCTGATGGTATATTCCCCTCATAAAAATTCAAGGTGTATGTGAAAGAAGTTTTTAGAACAATAACTAGAAACACTCAAACAACGCCCTGTAGTATTTCATTGGCGGATCAGATCAGATTGGCGATATGTCATATTTTTCACACACCTCAAATACACCCTAATAACTTTTTTAAAATTATAAAGCTATCACTGTTACTTGCAAACACCTTTCACCTGATGGTATATTCCCCTCATAGAAATTCAAGGTGTATGTGAAAGAAGTTTTTAGAACAATAACTAGAAACACTCAAACAACGCCCTGTAGTATTTCATTGGCGGATCAGATCAGATTGGCGATATGTCATATTTTTCACACACCTCAAATACACCCTCATAACTTTTTTAAAATTATAAAGCTATCACTGTTACTTGCAAACACCTTTCACCTGATGGTATATTCCCCTCATAGCAATTCAAGGTGTATGTGAAAGAAGTTTTTAGAACAATAACTAGAAACACTCAAACAACGCCCTGTAGTATTTCACTGGCGGATCAGATCAGATTGGCGATATGTCATATGTTTCATACACCTCAAATACACCCTAACAATATTTTTTTTAAATTATAAAACTATCACTATTACTTGCAAACACCTTTCAACTAAAGGTATATTTCCCTTCTACAAATAAAACGAATATGTGAAAGATGTTTTTAGCGATAGAATTTAGTCTTCCTTCGCTGTGTACCGAGAATTGAAGCCAGTGAGCTACAACATGCCGACTTGAAACTTTACTATAAATCTATTGTACTAATACTGACACTAATAACATTTTTCTTACTTAAAATGAAGTGACAGAATAGGTAACTTATCTTCTACATGTAGGTTTTCAGTTGTCACAACACTCAGCGAATGTAATCAGCTGTTGAAAATAAACCGGGCTCAATCTTAAAAACTACGCTGCCGCCATATTGGCTACACTGGTCACGTGACGAGCCGAGGCATACGCTAAGGGGCTATCGAGGAGTGGCCACTCCCCGTTATATAGTCTCCCTGCTGAGACTGAAGCTGGTCTAAGTTTATTATCATACATGTTGTCGCACAAATGGGATAGAAATCAATATGGGTAATTCTAAAATTGTTCAATTTAGACATCTGTTTATCATTCAGACAAAGGTCATTTTAAAGGTCACATGCAACCAAAAAATCAAACATAATTAAAACACAATTATCACTTATTCATGACATATAATGTACATTGCTGATTATGACAAAACATAAACAAAATCAAAATCAAAAGTGCATATTTTGTACTAGGGTTTACTTCCCAAGAAACGAAGCAGCCGGGATACCGAACCCAGTCAGAGCGGGTGGCTGTGCACTCAAGTGTAACGGCTGGTTCATTTGCAGATGCCCCCACGTCTCGTTGTGTGTGTATATATAGAGATGTTGGGTTTTGAAAATACATGCTCATTTTTTGTGTATAACATTTTGCAATCAACAGACATCATAACATGTCATGTGTTCAAGTATCACACCTGCCTGTCTGTGTAATTACATAATGTGACAGAGATCGAACTCGGGCCATAAATCAATGCGTTTTGTTTATGGTGTATAGCCTGATAGGTGTTAAGTTCAAATTGCATGTGGTCAGTGATCGAAGTTGTGTATTGAATATTGTCATTGGCAGACAGGCGGGCAGGCACATAGGTGTCAATAAAACAGACATTGAGTTTTGAATGTGACAACGAGATATCTATATCACAGTTAGAAATTCTGTCAACGCTAAATAATGACATTGCATTTAAGTATCGAACTGAGAAAGTGACTCGGTAAGAAGAACGTGTGGTGAAATAGACAAATGAAATTATGTAAACAGTTAAATCGGTAATCTACTGTCATAACATATAAAAAGCTCGCGCCTGTGAAATATCAACAAAACATTAGAACAATAGCTCACACCATAGCCTTCACCGAGTATTCACCGGACAACCCGCTTCCAAGCTGCGCGAACGTATTTCACTGCGCATGTGCTATGAGCGCAGCCAAGCGCAGCGCAGCCCAGCTGTTGAAACCACTTTCCCCCCAAGCTCTGGGGGAAAATTAGTGAATCGTTTGAACTCCGATTTGAATTTGCATTTTTGATGATTTGTTTCGGTAAGTCCATACCGAAAGGTAGCAGAATCTGTAATTCGTAGTAGTAGAAAGCTTTTGTGACGTGGATAACGTTTCGGTATGTCACTCTTGTTGAATGGTTCTTTACATTCCAGCAATGTATATATTTGTACAAAGTTGTTTTACGCATGTGCAGTAATGAGGCTTTATAAACAATCTGCCAATCGACACAGTTTCGTGTTGTGAATTTTAAGTACTCCGAAACTGAAGAGATACTGTTTCTTAACTAATGTCATAATATCCATATGTAAACAACCAAATATCTCGGTTGGGTTGGATGTATGAGTGAGTAAGTGGTCTTATGCAACCTTCACTGCTTTCACGCATTGTACCTATGTTGATATCGAATCAGGGCCTTCGTCAATGTGGGAGAGAGATTCTAACCACTCAGCCACCCGACAGCCACCCTCACCAGTGTGATTGCCCTTAGCTTTTAACAATACTTCAGTAATATTTTGTCATTTCAAATAAAACGTGCATATTAAAACACTATCTTTTTTTTCTTCAATGTTATTTTCTTATTGTGTTGGTTTCAAGCGACACAGACCTATCCAAATTTGGACTCAAGTGTGTACTCCTTGTCTCATATATAGCCTCGAGTAAACGTTCACACGTATATATGATCTACACAGATGTTAGCTTGTAGTTTTAAGCTGTCTTTCTGACTGAACGTCTCACTGATGGACCAGGAGATCACTTGAAACACTTGATATTTGGATGATTTTCTATAACTGACGATCCATAACATCATAAATAGTGTATACTGTGAAACTGTAAATAGTGACAATCACAATGGAAAGAGGGAACCGTTGAAGATATGTTCAACACTCTGAACCAAGATGTATAGTTCAATAACAGCAGCCAATCAAAACCGAAATGGGGAGGTGATCGGAAAGAAAGTCACAGGAAAAAAAGTCACGGATAAAAAGTCACAATTAAAAAGTACTCAACCTTAATGTTTTCACAGTAGACTACTCTCATTACTTAATTAACAGAGTGACATTATATTACATTACTAGTAAATATATTATATATTATATATTTTCCTGTGACTTTTTATCCGTGACTTTTCTAATTCCTAAATTCAGACTAAAAGTTGACAGTGGCATTACTCAGGGATAATCTACAACACTCTTCTATTCTCCCTGCATTAATACACCCACCATAAAACAGAGATGTTTGAACATAGAATTCGCTGCAAACATCACATATTACTTGAGTGTAATCAATATACTGTTATAGTTACATGGATTTGAAAATTATCTTTAATGACCGAACTGCACAATCTGTTATTTGATAATGACGACTGTAACTCTATCCACACCAGCTCGTGCGGCCGTTCACCTGGTATCCTGTTTATGACTTAATGACCTGTAATTAGCGGCACTGCAGCTCAGTCTGTTACATGTTGATAAATACAGAACACTTAACACGTGACAACGATCATCACATAAGCGAATATCTTGACGTGTGTGTAGCCGTGACGGTGTCTGTTAGATGTTGGCGGTATTTGATTTTATACATTAGGAATGTATGTTTCATGGACTTAATATATCTCATATAATACACACGGTTGTTCGTGAGGGGAGGATCAGTTCAGTACAACTTCTACACGCTGCAAACCCCCCGGTCAACCAGGAAATTATTCATTTTTATTTGTATAGTTATTGTTTTGTAAGTACGAGGTGTTTAGGAGCAATACTGAGGAAGAGGTTTAGCT